TTTTACAACAAAGTAACTTGAAAATGTAGATCTACACAGTTTAGGTAGCTGTAGCATTTCTTGTCCTGCTAGGCGTCAAAACCATAGCCAGGAATGATCCGATTCAGCTGGTATTCCTTAGCATTTATGTCAGCCTAAGCATTATCAGGAGGTTGACAAGTACCAAGTGGGACAAGATGTTAAGCACCACAGATTAAAAGAAGACAAAAAATTCAATCTGGTACACAAAGACTTAAGGGTTTTTTCTTCACTTTTAGTTTGTTTTGGTTTTTATCACAGTCATTGTACTCATGACATGGTTTAGTGCACTTGGCATTGCTGAATTAACAACAGGGCTTGATGATCTTCAAGTCCTTTTCAAACTGAAACAATTTAGTGAGTCCATCATAAAACAACAGTTTTTCTGTTGGTGAAAATTCCCTGCAATCAAGTTTTCTGAGAAAAATTTACTAATATCCCAAACTGTTGTGCATTCCAGGTTCTTCCAAGTAACTGCCCAGCAGAGATGAGAACAGAGTCTGGTTACTTACGAGGTTCTTGGCTGAGAAGTCGGCAATGTTTCTGAAGCTGTGCCAGCCTGCCCTGGAAAGAAGAAATGAAAAGGTTGCATTTGTATACCTCCCTTAGAGCGTATATTAGCCTGCGGTCTCTCAGCACCAGATTAGTCACTTTCTTCTAGGGAGGCTTTGCCACCAAGATTGTTCATCACTCCAGATGGGAGTTTCCTAACTCAATACTGCTTGTCCTCTGCTGAACTGCTACCTTGAGCTCTAGGTAATGATTGGTTGCAGTTGCTTAAGCCATTCCTAAATCCATCCCTGTTCAGCAAAGCAGAGGAAATCACACTGCTTCATCAGTATGAACACTTGATGGTCTCTGCTACATAGAACACACAAAATTACCTGCCAGCACACAAAGAACTGTGTTTTCTTTGCACTTCTACTTACTCTGCTTCTGTGCTGCAGATCTATCAGGTTGGGATTCCTAGAATAAAAGGACAAAGGAGCTCAGCATGGAGCTAAACAGCACATCTACTGACATCAAAACTGTGTTAATGGCACCTTATGGGCATGTGCATTTTTGAATAAGTCTTTTGAAAACACTCTAAGAGCTGCCAAATAGCTGAGCTGGATTTCTGCTCAGCAGAAAGATCTCTTGTAATTTATCAGAAGGCCTGGCATATATGGGCTGGGTCACCTTTGTTGCCAATGGAAGTTTGGAAGTCTCTGCTCCTGAAAGTGTCTGGAGATGTGACAGGAGAGCTGGCAGTGGGCTGCTCATTTCCTGGAAAGAGAGGGAGAGAAGCAGCTCTCAAAATGTATTTTATCCCCACCCATTTCGTTAATGTATGCAAGGCATAAGCAAACAGAGAGAGCTTCTATTTAAGAGCACTTACGCTCAAAATCTCTTCAGTTGATGGAACATCAGAGGGCTTCTTTGCCTGAAACAAAAACGGGGGAACAGAAGGAGTTTGTTTGGGTTTTTTTACTAATTGGCAGGAACTCAGCAAACCTTTGCTTACCAACAGCTCCAAAAATGTATTGCAGATGTATTAATAATAAAAAGAGAGTAAGAATGAAAAAGGCTCATCTAAAGGGGAGTTAATAACGGAGACCAGGCATGGACAGAGCTGAACCCTACAATGTCAACTCTTCTTC